TATTCAACCGACCTGTGATGGCTCCTTGACCCACACTAATCACAAATTGGATTGAACAATTAGTTTAATACAAAATAAAAATAACAATTTAATAATGAAGAATTACAGACACGCGTCTAAGGGACCAGCCCAGCTTGTTCCCTAGTCTAGTTGCGTATTCTCTACCTACCCTTCGCTTCGGTTTTTCTGTGGCCCTCTCGTTCCCATAAACCTAAACTTCATGGTGCTTTACATGGTCGCAACATTTACTTTTATTCAGTAAACGTTTTTTCAAAAAGTTAAGATTTGAAGTAATATTATTTTAAATAGGTGGTTTTCCTCGATATCTTATTGTCTTCCAAATGCAATAATCTCAAAAGCGTATTATAATTACCTTGGTTCAGGCGGAGGTTTCTAAAGGAAAAAGTTCAGAGTATAAAACATGTTTAGAAATCATACGTTTAGAGGCATTTTCAGGTTTCAGCTGAGTAGAGAAATTCACTAGGAGAAAAAAAGAGGCCTTTTCTATAGTCATCATCATCAGAGGAGATCACTCGATATCGAGTATGACTATCTCCTATTCTATTCTCATTGAAGTCAATTGTGAGTTTTCTGAGATAGCTAGGTTAACCAATTCTGGAGCCGCACACTCTTCCACAGTCTTGGCACACCCAGCCTGTTTCAGCATTGTCTTCTTCTGTTCTCTCGCTTCTACCTACTGTCCCTCTTTGCGATCTCATGTCTGCGTCGCTGTCCTCCAAAATTGTGTGGTCCGTCGTGGACTATTCGACGTCATGAGGGCCTATCATTTGCCGTCGTCTCAGTTGCTGGTATCGATGCGGCTTTGCCATATTTTCCTCAAGGACATCTTTGTAGCGTTTTCGTTGACCTCCTTGATTTTGTTTTCCCTCTTTCAGTTGTTTCTGTAGAGAATCTGTCGTGGAAGAAGTGTTCCGGGCATGCCGACGAGGTGACCTGTCCAGCGAAGTTGGAGCTTAATGATGAGGGCTTCCATGGTAGATGTTTTGGCCTCCTCTAAAATACTAATATTCGTTTGTCGGTCCTGCCAGCGATGATATTCTTAGGCATCGCAGGTGGTATGTTTCTAGGTTTTTTATGTGTCTGCTGTAGATGGTCCATGTTTCGCAGCCATGTAAGTGTTGGTATTACAACTGCATTGTAGACGCGAAGTTTGAATTCAGCGCTGATGTCGTGATTGTTGAAGACTTTCTCTAGAAGTTGCCCAAACGCCGCGCTAACACTCCCTCAAGAGATGTTGGATTTCCGCGTCAATGGTTGCATTCGCTGACAGATGGCTCCCGAATTATGGGTAGTGTCCTGCGTTCTGCGAAGGCTGGTCATTTATGGTTATGTTTGTGGCTTGGGAATTAGTGCCCGGTGCGGGTTGGTGCAGAATCTGCGTCTTGCTAACCTTTAGGCCGATTCTCCTGTATGGCTGGTCGAATTCAGTGATAATTGCCTGAAGATCTTCCTCTAAATTGGCCATCACGACGTTATCATCCGCGTTGAAGTTCACTTATCGATGTCGTCGATGCTTTCGTCTTGGCTCGTAATCTGTTTAGGTAGAATAAGCTTAGATCATATATATATGTTATTCACATATGGATACAGCGAAAGCCAGCAATTATGTTGACAACATATCCAAGACATACTTAAATCGTCTTTCTTTGTTTAACACGCAGATCTCCTGTGAGCTTTATCTTTCTTTTGTCTTGCATAGCCTCTTATTGGCCGCAAATTTGGAAAAGTGACAGAGAAAAAATAAGGTTAAGTTCATTTGTTTACATTTACTCTGTGTAAGGAGAAGGAGAGTTTGATGGAATTTTTACAATATATTATATTGATTTACTGACCACTCAAACTGGTGGAAAAATAGTATTGTTTACAGTTCAAAAAATGCTGCAGAGTGATTTCTATTCTCATATTTCAATTATGCTATGCAAGTGATTGATAAGTGAATAAAATATACATATAGATATCTACCAAGTGTTTCTAGATACGTTTGGCTTATTTTGCTTGTTTTTACTGGCAGAGTTGCTCTATTGCAATGGATTTTAAAATTAACTGAGAATGTATATTACTCTATACGAAATATCGAAAGCAAATGGCAAAACCGGCAGAACGCAGAAATCAAAACAATCGACAATCAAGCGCAGGTTGCAAATGTTGCCAAATCATCTTTTCAATAAGAATACTACAATAAAATAATTGATATTTATTTACTTTTGAATCTTGAATATCTTGAAATCTAAAATAAATGCTATTTTTATTATGTGATTTTGCTTCTAGCAAACAATTTTATAATTAGGGGAAATGTGAAGAAATATCAAAGCTTATACAATATTAATCAATTTGGCAATGTTGAAACTTGAGTAAATTAGCAAAGACTTATGTTATTACGTCTAACTGCGCATGCTCAGACGGTGAAACAAAAGAGAGATAAATTTATATCATTCATGAGGCTATGAAAGAGATAAATGGAAAAAGCACGTCTTTGTGTTGGAAACAGGAACGTATGCTATTTCAGAGGGGATTGCTGTATCCATATGTGAATAACATATATATATGATCTAAGAGAATAAGTCGCCATCAAGTCTGTAGAGGATTTCTACCCCCACGACGGCAGGTGACCCTCCACAAGGTGAAGTATGAATCTTAGTAATAGAGAAAATAAAGTAGGTGCAATAACACAGCCCCGTTTAACGCCTGTAGTTATTTGAAAAGACTCTCCTTTCCCATTGTTGCTTAGGACGGTTGCATTCATATTATCATGCAGCGGGCGGACTATCTGAATGTACATACTTTCGCGGACACCCAACGTTTGCCAATATCCATAGTAGAAGCACTTTGGTGGTGGCACCATTATCTCAGGGTTGGATGAACCCACCGGGATACCGGGAAATTCCTGGGTGGGCCGATCGGAGTATGGGCCGATCTTTAGAAAAACAGGATCTTTATCAAGATACCTTCGAACCAAAGTCTAAGATCAAACGGACGGCCTCAATATTATGAAAGCACAAAGAATATGATGGTCAATTGAACTTATGACGCACTCAAGAACAAGCCAACCTGAAAGAAGTATGAAGTGCTAAAAATATTTTACAATTGGGCAAATACAGGACTGGAAGCAAGAAGCAAATGAAAGTGATGTAATAATTCAGGACTCATTATCCGCAATTTGTTCTCGTAAAAAAAAAGAAGATGCCAGGGGTGTAAGCAGATGATAGGTACTCATTCAGCTACTACTATTTTCAAATTTGAGGTGGAAGTATACGATGTAACCATGAATAACAAAAATAGAGGCATCTTATTCGCAGCACAAATATTTCTATATTTGTGCTGATCTTTCATATGGATCCAAACAATTTTTCAGAACTAGTGCTAGACGATGCTTTGAATAAACTAGGTAAATTACTAGGATATGATGACGGGGCTGTTTTGCGGGATGAATATAAAGGATTCTGGAAGAGAATAGGTCTGACTCGAAAAGGACGGAGTTATATGATCTGATCTCTCCGAATCCAACGATGGAGATGAAGATGATGTAAATGACACAGGGTTGGATGCAGGGAATGAATTAGAATTCTCTAAAAAAAGTGTTCATCACATTCACGTTGCAAACAATGTTTGGTTTGCTGTTTTATTGTTTTGTATAAATACAAATTAAACATCCGTGCTTGTAGATTGCGGGGGAGTCGTTTCGGCTTTTCAGCCGCTCAGCACTGCTACCTTTGCAAATATTTTGTACGTGAACATCCATGCTTACAGTCATCTTTAAGGCCTATGAACTTCAATAAAGACATCTTAGGATTGTTGACTTCCAATAAGAAGATTCTCATGGAAATGTTTACCTTAGTCCCCTATTAATGAAAATATTATCATTTTGATTGTTTGAAATAAATAAACCAAAGGTGTAATATGACAGTTATAATTTGATTTTTTATTCTGCGTTTTCATTCAGCATTTATTGTTGCATCACGGTTGTTATTAGATTACATCCAAATGTGGGGATGTGCCCCATAAATCCATCAATGTATGGGCCGCTAGATCGAAATTTCCCGGACCACTGCCAGAAGTTCGTCCAACCCTGCATTATCGTATCGGTTGACATTTCAAACTGCTAACTCATCAGAACTTTTTTAGCTTTAGCTTCCATATTAAACATGATGGTCAAATAGAAAATGTTTTTTGTTGTATGTTATTGTTGTTATGCAGTAATAATTAGAGCAGTTACTTCACTTTTAAATTGAAAAATACGTTAGACTCCAAAAAACACCCTCTATCTCTCAACACATTCCATGTCAAGAATACCAAGGAGAGGACGCTGTGTGCATGTGTCCGAATAAGGAAGGAAACAGTTCATGCAAAATTACCTTATTGAAATTAAGCGTAGTAGAGCGCTTTCGGCTTTCGCCATCATCAGTAGGTACTACTTGTGTTGCATTTGGGATTTAAAATAACGAAAAAGACTGAACTCCCTGTCTCTTTCATTCAATGAACATCTAGAAACATTAACTCGAAAATCTTTGAAAGAATAATTTAATACCACAATTTTTTTAAATTAAAATAAAATACGAAGAAAAAATTATATTTGAATTCTTGACTCTCTGTGGCGGTCCCAGAGAGAATTATTTTGAACTACGTTTAATATTTTTTAAAGTTTTATATTGTTTGTGACCTTTTATCGTGTACAGATTCTTGTCGTGTTGTAATGTTTTTTTATTCTCGTCGTCGGAGCTTGACAAGTAGTACTGATGATGGCGAAAGCCGAAAGCGCTCTACTACGCTGCATTTCAATAAATGTAATTTTGCATGAAATACACATTGTCAAGAATATTTTTCTTGATCCAGTCCACGGTAAGCTTAAGCTTTGATGTCAAAACATGGATGGAATGACAATTCATGTTTGAGCTTTAGTTCAATTTGACATTTCCTAAAAATGTAGATATTACTTAATTCTAATAACCAATTATAAACTTATATGTTTTTTTTTATTACAGGTTTAAGGCAAATAGTAAAATGGCCAGCGTTCTAAGATGGTATAATAGTTTTATGTTGGAATATCAAGGTAAGCTCACATATCTACTTAATAATGTAAATATTAAAAGTGTGGAACATTTTACAACTTCTGATAGCATTGCTAAAGCACATCTTTGTAGCTACTTGTCTTCTGACTCAATAAAAGTCTTTAAGTATCAAACTTTATCTTAAAAAGCAATTATTGCCGCTTGGACTTGTATTACAAAAAGTATGTTTTTTTTATGTATGTACTGGTTTGCATTGAAGATGACCTTACATATCTTCAGCATCATGACTTGCTGAAATAATTTCTTATATTTATGCGTGTCAATGGTCAATGTTTTGTGATTTGCTCGAGTAATTCTCCTAATTTTTTCATTAATGAATAAGTTCCTGGATTTAAAATTTTTTGGAGACACTGATTTTAATATTTTCTTAATGATTTTATGTACATTTTCAGTTTTCTATCCCTCAATTTTTAACGAACTTTATAATAATTAAAATTTTAAATGGACTTTTTGACCTTTGCTTCATTTTAATACCTACCTTAGTTTTGGTTCTTTGGTTGAAATTGCCATCTCGAATATAAGACCCGCTATTAAAACGCTGACAACCTTTCTTCAGTATTGTAGTGAAAAATATAAAGTTGTTTTAGTGAGCACATAAACTTGGTGCCGCCAGGTCAAGGAAAATCCCCCTATAATATTGATAATAATATGTACCTACCTGATGGTGAAATATATACTATACAGGTTCCGGCAAAATGTAATCTTTTTTATTTCGTCAAATAAAAAATGTATTGCTCATTAACAGTTTAGTGCAACATCTATTGGTTACCAGAGTCGTTTTAAGAAATTTAATTAATTTAAAGGAAAATTTTGCTATGGGCCTAATGTTTACTGTGTTAATACACTGTCATTAGAACTTAGGTTGTATTATGTATACGTCCGTTTCCCTAATAGTATGTAATATATAATTCGGTGCATAATGCACAAATTTCCAACTTTTACTATAATGGTCTCTTATTAACGTTACGTAATTTTTGGCTCAAAAAGGCCGTAATTTCCCTTATAGATTAAAAACGCAAATTAGGCATCACCTTTTATAAACATAAAAAAAGAAATACATCAGTCTAAATAAATTTTAAACCTACCTACCTAATACCTACCTACTTATACATTCGAGTTTCCAACATTTTCTTATCTCAAATATATTACAGTGCGTAGAAGTCAAGATACATCTTTTATTAAAATTTTATCCCAAAAGACATGTGTACCCATGTGATTATGAGGCTGCATTCCTAATTAAACAATCAATTACATATTTGAAGGCAAACATATGAAAGTGGAGCATTTCGTAGTTTCTTTGCTAATTTGTTGCTCAATGGGCCAAAATAGTATAGTCTGATAATTTCGGCTTTCTTTGCTTTTTGGCATGCTTTTTTCCCTTGATACGCACACACAAATAATGTTCTAGACATGTAAATCTTCTAAGATTTTTTTGAATGTTAAAACACCCAAATTCTATTAAAATTTAGATGCCCTGAAATGTCTAAACAAGATATTTTGTTTAAGTTCATTATAGAGTATATTTTTGCTGTAATCCATCCACTTCTATACACTTCAATGCTCACTTAGACGTACATCTTCTATTACATAACTATTGCTCTTGCAAGAAAATGCACAAGTAAAGTGCATTAGAAATCGCATATGGCGACCTTGCTTCTTGCATTTTCTATAGGTATAATAATTTAGCAGGTCATCAAGATGGGTGCTTGGAGTCGCATACAAAACAAAAAAATAAGGCCCACGCTGACGCTGAGCCGGACTGGTTTATGTCGTTAGAATCTGCCGCATTGGCCATTGGGTTCTTTATTTAGCAATTTGGTTTTCGTAAAAAAAATCTTTGTGGTGCCTATTGGGGTTCCCCAGTTCTTTGTTTATCTGATATATGGTCGGATTTCAAACTAATGAGTTCTGATGGGAGTATTGACTTGCCTTTTTTAAAAGCGCTGAATATCAGATTGGGTTCGCGAAATGCCTCAGCCTAAAAACAGACTCATTTGTTTTACTGTTTGATTTTTTTTCTTATTGAATCTGTTTCTTGACCCCAATATAATGGTCCTGGAAAAACTCATTCTCAAAATTCAATTTTATGGAAAGTGTCGAATTATGATTTTTCATATTAACTTGATAAATAAATTTGTGTCAGATGGAAAAAAAATAACGAATTTATTGTGTGTGCAAGAGAAAATTACATGTATGTGCGATTTCGATTTGTATTAATTCTGAAACGCAGTATAGGACAGTATAGGTACCTACCTACTTTTCCCAAAGCCACTGCAAAATCTAGAGGTCACCAACTCGCCAAACAATTATTGGTAAATATCAGAAAGGAAGACAAGCCGACAAGCCGCTTTCAAATAAACCGAATTGTTAAGGTAGGTATTTACTTAACTCTTTGCTCAATAATGGCATCTAATTCACAAGGCAGCAAATTTATTGGAAAATATAGTAGACTATCATTGACTCGGTGTAAGTCGTAAACATTTAATGTTTTAGTGGTGTATTATTGGTAATCTTTACCTATATAGTAATATAATTATTGTCAGTTGTTATAATAGTTGCATCACCCGGAATAACAGCAACGTCACGGAACTGGAGGGCTTATTTTAGGATAGAAATATGAATCCAGAGAGTTATTGGAAAAAATTAAATGGTCCAAAAGCTCAATGGTGGATGATTTCATTTACATATTCCATATTTTCTAATAATCGAATCGTAAAATAGAATGTTGCAGATTGATAAGCTATGTAGCCGTTTTTTAAATAAGTTATGCAAACTTGACGTTTTCATCCCTCCGCCGAGAAAATTGGGAAATTTCAAAATAATTATATTTTTCCCCATCCTTGGCATAATAATAGAGCTATCCACTGGAATGCAACTGATTGCTTTTTTCCAAGAGTTCAATTTTATCAAGCGCTCTGTATTCTCTTTTTTCTAGAGGTGCTCCATTGATAATTGCAGCTGGACCTGGATCATGAGTATTGGAGGCTGACATAGAATGTTTGCATCGGTGTTTAGTTCCTGACCGATGTTGCGTATTGGCGAAAGAGCAATGCAGTTACAAAGAATGTGCTCCATCGTCTTTTCTTCTTGATTACAAGTCCTACACAAGGGTGCGGTGCTAAGATGAAACCTGAATAAATCTTTGTTTAACTGGCAGTGGCCAATTAAGATGCCCGTTATTAGGCGTAGCCTTTTCCTGGTCAACGACAGTTTCTGGCTCGCTACAGATTCATCTGGGTATCTTAGCAGTTCCTTGGATAAGTGCAGCCAATCGTATAGTCCTAACGCTCCTAGCCAGAGCATCGGCAGCCCGATTGCCTTTGCTGTGGTCATGTCCTTTGATTCAGCTGACTACCACCGTGCTTTTTTATCAATGCCTCTGTGAGGGAACGCAACGGTGGCAAAGTTGTACTAGTTCTGACGTGAGTCGTGATCTAGATAGGCCTAGTACTACTTGTCCGCAGTCCCTGTGGATGCGCACGATCTTGTCAGTGATATTGTTGTTGACTATCTGACATCTGTTGTGCAGCGTTGGTTATGCCAGTCATTTTCGTTTGGAGGACATTTGGCATGGAGCCGAGGGCTTTAGTTAGGTCCAGTTTCAGGGCTTTAGAGTATTCTCCGCATGCAGAGCCTGTTTCCGTTTTGGAACCGTCGGTGTAGATGTTACTTAACCCTGCAATTCTGTTGTTACCAATGCCTCTCGTTTTGATTGTGTAGTGCTTCTTAGAGAAGAAATATGTCGGTGCAGAGTCTACTCTGGCTTCCAACCAGAGATTCACTACTTGACTTGATTTTCAAGCTACTTGACTTGACTTGACTTGATATCAAGTCAAGATCAAGTCAAGTATTTGTTTTTGAAATTCAAGTCAAGTCAAGTAGTTACACATTAAGTAACTTGAAAATCAAGTTTTTCAAGCTAACTACTTGATTTTTCTCGAAAAAATTGTACTTTTTTGATACTAATATAACTGCCAAAACGCAATAATAAAAAAAATCTATGTAGATTAGATTAGATTAAATTGTGTTAGGGGCGTTTAGGTGATGGACCTCTCTGCACTGCGACCTGAATAGATCTATTGTGCTTCCCCCTTTTCTAGTGGGTTCCCAAATTGAGACTTTTCGCGAATCTCATGATTTTCCCCGGATTGGTTCGTTTAACAACCGCAGCAGTCGAATGTGTCTGCTCCAGATGGATGAGTCTTCTGTGACTGTCAAGTCAAGTATTTAAGAAAAAATTCAAGCTACTTGGCTTGATGAATCCCTGCTTCCAACAGTGGAAGCAAGTTCGTTGTCTCGCGCCATATATGCAGGCTCTCTGCAAACCGACTTCTGCACGTTCTATACCAACAGTGCGGAAGCGGATCATTGTGGTTAAAGCTAAAGCAACCTCCTTGAGATAAATCTCCAGGGACGTCGAACATAGAACTACTTCCAAAGCCCTTATTGGTGTTGTTTTCATTGCACCAGTCAGTGGCGCACCCAGGGGAGGGAGCCATCGGGCCAGCCCCCCCCAGGCCGCCCCTGCAAAACTTTATTTTTACGTAGGTAGGTATAAAAAAATGTGGCAAATTCAGGGCGTGGTACCCTGTCGCCACAATTTTTTTTTAACATAATTTCTGGGTGCGCCACTGTTCCTGGAAAAACATCAAAAATCAGGCCATAATCTGTATTCTCAAAATATCACTTAGTGTCTCTTAGGGATTAAAAAATCGTAGCTCCGCTATCTTTGATTTTTTTCCAATCAAATTTTGGTATGTTGAAGGTGAAAGGCTTCTGGATATATAAAAAAATTCTTCATTCGCCAAAGTTTCCCAGATTTCTAGGAAAAAAATCAAAAATCAGGCCATAGTCTGTATTGTAAAAATATCAGTTATATAGTGTCTCTTCGGAATTAAAAAATCCGTAACTCCGCTATGATGCTATCTTTGGTTTTTTTCTCAATCAAATTTAAGTATATTAAAGCTGAAAGGCTTCTGGA